CTTGATTGATGCTTACGACAGCCTTCGTTTTAAGCACAAGTATCCTACGCGAAACAGCTTCCCACATTAAATCCGGTCTTCTGACATGCACAATAAATAATTAAGTCAGCAGAAGCGATTGCCATTTGCCGAACCAAGTGCGCGCGATTGCCTACGAGATAATTCATCGCAAACTGTCGCGTTGTTTATGCGGGTCGTGCACCGATTGGGCTATAGTACGGATCACATTCGTCCCGTTTTGATTTAGAGCACCAGTTAAGAGATTCTCGCACAGTTGTCTAGGGGAAGAACGATCCAAGATCGAAGCGCAGACCGTTTAGATCTCCGAGTGTGTTGGGGAGCCACACGAAATACAAGTGAGAAACGGTTTCCCTATCGCGAACATCGACTCAAGCTAGAAACTCCACGGGAGTCGATAAGTCCGGATCCCGGACAGTAGGTCAGACAGTAAGTATGCAAGTTAGACAGTTCGGAGGAGAGAACTTGACGTGAGAATTCTTTTACGGAAAACGCAAAGCCTCACTATGGACGCTATTAAACTATTGGAGATGAACTTTCCCAGTAACATCGAGGTATCAGAAACGGAGAAATCCCCAATTACTCGAGCACAGCAGAATCACTGACCAATATGGTCCATAATTAATTTGAGAAATCCAGCCAAACCCTCGATTATGCACTGGAAACGGGTTTCACTGTGGACATCAGGTTGCAGCCTTTGTAGTGCTACTTTCACATGTCGAAAGCTATACGCGGACGGCAGATGCCGACAAAACGCAAAAAGAGGTCTTTTGGGGTGAAGTCAAGACTGATTTCAGACGTAGCCCCATATCCTGTAGAAATGGGGAGAGAGAGAGAGAGAACGCCGGGAGGCGAAAGTTTTACTAATCCATGAGGCAGTTGGAGACACCTGGGAAAACGGATTAAGGCTGTGCTGAACTGCGTGGTTGGTACCTGCTACCGGCGCCTCACCCACAAAGCCAAATAGACTATATAGATGTCAGTGCACACTAGGAAATTCCACGCGATGCGTGATGTCCATATCAATAGCCCACAAGGCTTTACCACACTACGACTAAGACTGCATCGTACTGAGGATGATGTCTACAAGGAGACGCGATTTCGGCCATCTCCGATCTCGGATGAATTTTAGCAACAGGCAATTGACACGAACTAACCATATTCTCCAGAACAGCGTGGAGAGACTGAGAGACTTAAGGACAACGAAAACTGCAAGAAGTGGCATTGTGCGACAAATGGGAATTTAAAGCGCTAGAGAACCCGAACACGCGTCACAGAGGACGAGTCCCTACCACATTTTGTAGGCATGACAATTTTTAGATTGTCTAGTTTAGTGATCAAACGCTAATAAGGCGTGCGCTGACGGCGTCACTGTAGAACATCGGATGTCGACAGTATGAGCATTCGGTATGAGTTCTGAGTACGATAAGTTTGACAGCTTCAGTTGCAGGCCCGTTTGAAGACATTCAGACCCAAAACTGGCTGTGACTGCACATTCTTTTACCGAGGAGATTGTAGGGAAACTTAAGAACAACACGGCACGCTGCAACAACTGTCCCTCAAAGTGAATATGTACACGATTATCCAGTCACGAGACCTCTTGACCGAAATTTTAATGAAACAATTCCCACGAGTTGGAGAAACACGATCGTTACGCCGTTATGTCAGAAAGGTGACGGACTGCTGTATGTAAACAACTGGGATAAATGGCCGCTTTGGACACTGTCCAGGGTAGTCCCGAATTAATTCCGCCTGTACTGTGAACTGTGAACAAAAACGAATTGGTTAAATTTTCGATATGGGGATAGGTGGTGATGTGATTACCCCCACTTCTTTTCTGCTTTGAACCGCCTAATACTGCAGCTGCTACTAGCAACCTACACCATACCTGTTTCATGAAGTTGCCCTCGCACTTGACTCTGTTTCTCGAGTGTCCTTTAGGGGACGCAGGGTGAAAATACGTCTGTAAAAAATTGGGCAGGGAGCAATCATGGTTATATTACCAAGAAAGCGCTCTAGCGAAATTCACTTACCTGTCCAGAGGGTATAAACTCCATTTCAAGCGATAGGTCACTAATTTTACAGCCCAATACGTCGATGGCGGCATTCTCTAGCCAGTCAAGCGTGAGGCCATCGGCAGGGAAAATGGCCTGGAGCCGTCGCTTCCGCTGACAAAATTTACAAAGTTGGTAGAAAAAGCGCCCACGTTCCGGATCGACCGACCAGAAATCATCGAAGTCCAGCAGACCGGTAATCCAGTGCCCGTGTGAACGCTGGCTGGTATTGAGGCCGATAATATCTGTCATAATCGATCGCAAATTAATCCGATCCATTGCTGCTTCTGAATGTACGAACCATTTCATTTGATCAAGAAGGGCCTGTTCTGGTGCAAGGGACTTCATCTCCAGACTCCGCACGTTGCCAAAGGCGGAAATAAGTTTCAGGAAGGGTGTCGAAAGTGGTAGGTCGATTCGTCGGTTATCCTAATAAAAGTAGTAGATTGTTATATACCTACTTAAAACATATAAGTAGCACATATTTAGGTGTATTACGATTCGTACCTGCAGGGATTTGGCCACAGCGATACCCATTATGTGGAAGCGCCTAACAACCGATTCGGGAATCTTGTTCGGAGGGTAGGGGGCTGGGAAAAGTCCATTGGTCGCCTTTACGTAAGCCTTTGCCTCAGAACTCGGTAAGTCAGCCTTCTCCACCTCTTCTGGTTCTTCTCTCGAGGACGACGACGGTCCGGGTTGTGGAGTGGAAGCAGAGGCAGTGTTTGCACTGTCGATATGTTGGTCTGTGACGGCAACCTCGGAGGCAGCCTCATCAAAGTCCTCCTCATTCACCACCCACATACGGCCAGACTTTCGACACAATTCGGCGGCCACGAGAGAAAAGAATTCCAGGGTTGGGCCAATACCAGTGCCCTGTTCGCCTATATAGGACAGTAACGCGAAAATATGCAGTCAAATTGAAGGCACATTTATTGGTGCCAAACACAACAATTTATTAATTGAGCTCACAATTCGCATACTGCAGGACTTCCCAACTATCGAAATATAACTCTACGTACCGCGATATGCGGGCCTGATCTCAAAACTGACAACAAGGCCTGCGGATAACCTCGGATTCAGGAGCTGTGCACACTTCAGAATAGGGGAGGGGGGCATTTCATTTTTGCAGGTTGACATTTTTGAGTCTAAACTGTTTAACAGCTAGGAGAAATTTGGAGTTGTTAAGAAAGTATTACAGTTTTTGTTAAAGGGGCATGACTTCTACCCTAAACACCTGAGATAGTCCGACTTCTTTTCGATCGACTACATTAACTTCTTCTGAAACAGTGGAAACCAAAAGCCTGCATTACGGCATGATCACCTGTGGCCAAACTGGGGGGCCGAAACAGCTTGAAAAAAAAATAAGCAGGCATTAGCCCATGACTGAGTTGCGCTGTACAAGACACTTTAACTGCGAAAAAGTGGGGTTTGGATTAGCCAGGAAAGATAGCCCAAACGAATACACCTCGGGGGTTTTATTGTAAGCGAAGCACCAATACATATGGGAAAATATGCGGAGACTGGGGGCCTGCAAAGCCTCGAGCGATATGTGTGTTCCCCCGAAGTTCGCGTGCCAACAAAACACTTGATTCAATGGACTCACCGATAAACTGTATCTCCAGTTCGGACTTTCGACTGGCGTGCTCGTCCAAAACACGGTCGGCCCATT